TGCAGCGCAGGGTGGAGGACGAGGTGCACGCGGGCGTGGGGCAGGTAACGCGCTTCCCCCGCCGGTATGTGACCCGTGTGCCTCGGGGCGGACCGGTCACCCGTCTTGAGGGGGCTCGGTAAAAAAAAATAATAATAATAATAAAAAATCCCCGCTCTGCCTTCCCTGCGCAAGCCCGCCCCGCCCTGCCCGGTGGCCTCACCCTTCGCTCTTCTCCGCAGGATGGCTCTCTGCTGGCCTCGCCCTTTCTCAAAGGCTTCTTGGCGGGCTACCTGGTAGCCAAACTTCGCTTCTCGGCCGTCCTGGGATTCGTGGCTGGGACCTGCACAGGGATATACGCCGCTCAGAACTACGCCGTCCCCAACGTTGAAAAGACAGTCCGGGACTATTTCAGTTCACTGAAAAAAGGTCGGGACTAGCAAGGAGCCCTTTGGCAGCCGTGACTGTAGGAGCAGTACTCCTTAGTTAGCAGGCACAGAAGATTCCTAGGGCTTTCAGAGGCGTGTCATGTACACTGTTCTTTTCCAGTGGAAAAGGGGCTTTACAACGCATCATTGCAAGACATCAGCGGGTCTGGTTATGGGGTATTTATTAGAGCATCGTGATGGCGGTGATCATTCCACTAACCCACAGTAGCTTGGAAGCATCGGCAGCCGACGGTTTGCCAGCTGCCTTTTCCCCTCAGCTCTCTCCCCATGCCCCTGCGGACTGAAAGGCTGCCTGTGACATGTCATCACGCTCACCACCCGTACGCCCTTCCACCGAGCGCACGCTTTGCCCTAGGAACATGCTTTGTATGGCTTCCTGGGGAGGCTTGTAGTTCTCTTCCTAACGAAAGACAAAACCATTCTCTTCCACTGCATCAGAAATGTAGCAGGTAACATCCTGTTTTAATCAGGCTCATTAAATTCATGGTATTTGGTCTCTTCTTGAATGTTCTAGGGTGCAAGTCTGTCTGGCCTGTCTGCACTGATAGCAGCTCGCCCTTGCTGGCTACTGCCTGAAAATGGTGATATTCGGTAATGCTGCTGGCTCTGCAAACCGGGTGCTCCGGAGGGGGCTGTGGGGACTGATGCTGGTCTTGTCTGTAGCCATATACGGCTCTCATGCTCCCCTCCTGACCTTGTGCAAGGTGGACGGGATGATCCCCTTCAGCTCCACGTCCGTCGTGGTTCTTGTTGAGCTGACAAAACTGATGTTCTCCCTCCTGTTCCTGCTGACCTGGAACCGGGAGCTGCTGGGAGTCGCCGTGTCGTGGCGCCATGTTGCCCCCTTCGCCCTCTCTGCCCTGCTCTATGCTGCCAACAACAACCTGGTGGTTCACATGCAGCTCTTCATGGATCCCAGCACCTACCAGGTCTTGAGTAACTTAAAGATCGTCAGCACTGCGCTCCTCTACAGCCTCTTCCTGCGCCAAAGACTCAGCAAGCGCAAATGGGTGGCTCTCTTCCTGCTGGTGGCTGCTGGGGTGAGCTACAGCTGTGGCGGCCTGCAGGACCCTGGCAGCCCCTCCAAGATGCAGCTGCACGTCACGCTGGTGGGCTTGTTGCTGATCTCGGTGTACTGCCTGATATCGGGCTTGTCTGCTGTCTACACAGAAGCCATCCTGAAAACCCAGGCGCTGCCTCTCAGCCTTCAGAACCTCTTCCTTTACTTCTTTGGGGTCCTGCTCAACTTGATCGGCTACTTCTGGAGCAGCGCAGAGGGCAGTTTCTTGGAGGGCTTTTCCTCCTGGGTGCTGGTGATTGTGGTCAGCCAGGCCTTGAACGGCTTGATCATGTCCGTGGTTATGAAGCACAGCAGTAACATCACCAGGCTGTTCGTGATCTCCTGCTCTATCCTGGTCAACGCCCTCCTGTCCGTCACCCTCTTCAACCTGCAGTTCACCCTCCTCTTCTTTGTTGCCGTCTCATGCATCGGCCTTGCTGTTCACTTGTACTATGGGGTCACGTAGCCGCTGCCTTCCTGCCCTGCGTGTGCCAGGGCAGTCTTTAGTCATTCCTCAGGGGTGTTTAGTGCTTGTGCTGGGGCTGGTGTTAGAAGCACAGCTGTGCTCTGGCCGTCGGCCTCCCTGCCCTGCAGGGTGTCGGTACTGTGGGCGCATGCAAGATTAGTAAGGGGCCCCCAGAGGAGGAATGCTGAGGGGGAGAGTGCCCTGTCCCTGTTTCCAGGGCGGAAGCTGGGCCCTGCTCCAGCCCGGCCGGGCTCCGTGCCACAGGGTTCCTGCGTGATCAGGTGAGCCCAGCCTCGAGGGTGGCTCCTGAGCGCCTCGTTCATGTGGCGTATCGCATTCTCAAGCTGCTTCCCCCATCTTCCCCACACCAAAGAGCACACCTGTTTCTTGTGCCTGTAAATCCTCCTGCAGTGGTTAGCTCTGCTGTGCTGCGGGCTCTGCACACAGGCAGCCCTGCTGCACGATCGCTGCCAGGCCAGCATCGGTCTGATGCTGTTCCAACTCTGGATGGTGCTTCCCCGTGGCAGGGGGGCCACGTCCATCCGACATGCCCAGCCGATCCCCAGCCCTTGGCTTCAGGGGAGCCTCAGCACTGTGGGAGGTGACCCCCGCTGGCCTGTGACCCCTCTGAGCCCCTAGTGAGGTGGGGAAGAGGGTTTCTCCCTCCGGGTCTGTCGAGTTACCAGCCATCTGCACGGGGCTGGGTGCTGCTGCCTGGAGAGCCTCGTGCCATGGCCAGCGGCGTTTCTCCCACCTCTGTGGTTTTTCAGCCCACCCCTTGCCCTAGCCCCTGGCTGAAGGGCTGCTGTCCTTGGGCCCCATTTCCCCTTCTCAGGCATGGTGTCGCTGCTCCGTGCGGAGCAGATGGGGAGTAGGGGGATGTGGGAATTGTTTCACCTGCTCCCCAAAAGGGAGACAGCACCCGAATTTGTACCAATGCTGTGGCTAGTGAGTTCCTGGCAGGCAGAAGTCACCGCTGGTTCTGGCTGGGGTTATTAAAGTTGCGGTTCAACAGCATGCGTGTGTCTGTCCTCCCTGCGGGAAGGCATCTGTTTTGCTTGGCAGAGGTTTTGGGGCCAGGAGCATGTCTGAGCCTGACGACGCTCATCAGTTGAAGGGGCACCTGCTTTATTCCACATGGCAGCAGCCCGGGGATCACCAGCCCTCCCACCGTGCCCGCTCTGCTCCTGTTGCAGGGCTGTGCCCGAGCCCGTGCTCCCGCAGGCACATGCCCAGCAGCAGAGCGGGGTTTTCCCCATGGGAGCAGAGGGGTGAAGCACTCCCCTCCTTCTGCCAGCGAGCACCCTCCCTGGGGCCAGGTTTCTGCAGGGAGCAGCTCTCAGCAGCCAGAGCAGGCAGGACGGGAGGCCTTGCCCTGTGTAACTGTTTTAGCTGGGGCTGGCCGGTCCCCTGGCATCAGGGCTGGTGCCTCACTCCAGGGAAGGGGCGTTGAGGTGGCAGGGGTCTGCAGGCACCCCATCCTGCCTGCCTGCCCGGGCAGCAGTGCCCACCACCCTGGGATGCTGGCTTAGGGTGTCTGTGTGGCGGCATCGGCTGAGCCCAGCCGTCTGGCTTCCCGCAGCTGCTGGTTGTGCGTGGCGAGCTCCACGGCATCCCGGAGCACCTCCTGCAGCAGCACCCGGTGCTGGCGGTCCAGCACCTCCCTCTGCTCCTCTGCCAGGCGCTGCTGGTCCCGAAGCACCTGTGGGGACACCTGGGGCTGCCTGGCATGGCCCTGGCAGCCTGGAGGTGCGTCCCCAGCCCTCCCTGCCCACCTGCAGCAGGTGCTGCCTGCAGGCCTGCTTCTCCTGCCGGTGCCTCTGCAGCAAGGCCTCCAGGTCCCGCTCGGCTGCCTCCCGCTCCCTCTGTGCTGCCTCCAGGCTCAGGCGCAGCGTAGCCACCTCCTGTTGCCAGCGAGCTGTGTCCCACTGCAGGGGACAGGGATGAGGACAGGGCAGCTCTGGGGCGTCTCTGCTCCCTGGGGCTGTCCTGCCCTCCCCTGGGAGAGCAGAGCCAGGGAAGGAGGAGAGCCTGGAGCCCACGGTGATGGGCTCTCTTCCCGTGCTCACCTCCCTGGTCGCCTCCTGGCCTGGTGCTGCCCCGTCCCCGAGCTCTCGATGGAGGAGCAGGCAGTGCTGAGCCCGCAGCTGCTGCCTCTGCACCTTGGCCAGGGCGTACTGGACCTCCAGGGACGGGCACGGCTGGCACTGGCTCCCTGCCTGGCAGAGAGCAGAGCTGGCTTGGACAGCCTGGGGACCCTGTGCTGCCAGCGCAGAGGACTGCAGGCCCTGGGTGCTGCCCCTGCCCAGGAGCAGCAGCCAGGGACCCAGTGGGCTCCCACTCACCGTGTCACCCCCCGTCAGCGGCCACGGCTGTAGCGCTTCGCTCGGCGAGGGCTCCTCCAGCGAGCCCTGCCCTGTGCTCCCCGGGGCTCGGCTGTCCCCTCCCTGGCTGCTCTCGCTGGCGCCCATTCCTGGGTGGGGAGAGGGAAGGAGAATGAGCGTGATGTGGCGGGGCTGAAGAAGCCAGTTTAAACGAAGGACTGAGGCCTCTTCCAGCCCCTGAGCAAAGCCGTTTCCCACCACGTAAAGCGATGCTCCGTGTCCACATATCAGCCACCCAGGCGTGGGGCGCGTGCCTGTCCCCACGCTCTGGACCTGCTGGCTCCAGGCTGGCACCAGCTGGGGTTGTTTGGGTCCCAGGCTGCTGGCCTGGTGCTGTATTCCCTGTGGAGACCCAGTCCTGTGGGAGCAGGAGGAGACGTTACGGAGACGCAACCAGGATTCAGGGCTTCTCCTGCACCTGGGTTGTCTCTGGATGAGGGGGCCATGGCCTGACCTGTGCCCACCTTGGTGCTGGGCTGGCACATCTGACTTGTCCCGAGCACCTCGGCTGCTGCCTGCTTCTTCTCCCACCTTTGACTCTTCAGCACCTGGAAAAAGGGGCTGGGGGTCCTTGCTGGGGTGCTGGAGACCTCCAGGCATGGCACAGCTCCAGGGACACATCCCACTCCAAACATCTCACCGCCCAGGCAGGCAGCCCCCAGCCCCTGCCCTCAGTGCCAGACAAGGGTCGTGACACCAGGATGGAGCCCAGACTTCATCTGACCAGGGGGGATCGGTGCCATCCTGGTCCCATCTGGTGGCTAGGGGCGTCCCCCCACCTGCAGCTCCCGCAGGGCTCTCCGCAGCTGGGTCACGGCCATCTTCTGCTCGGGGAGGCCAGCTTCAGCCAGCAGCTGCGTCCGCAGCCCTCGGATCTCCCTTCGACGCGCCGCGACCTCTTGTGCTGGGTCCCAGAGGGTGGCTGAGGTCGTCTTGGCCAGCCCCTTCACCCGCTTGGCCAGTCCCAGTGCCGCCAGGATCTCTTCTCTGGAGGTGTCTGGGAGAGCAGCAAGCCCTGGGCCAGGGCCACGGGGGTCCACCAGCATGGGGACACCCCGGTGCCTGGCACAGGGTCAGGGCTGACGGGGACGAGCGGAGCTGGTGTCCGGCTTCCGACGACTGCAGGTGTCCCCAGGCAGTGGCCAGGGACCGAGTGCCAGGCGTGGGGCAGGATGGGGGGGAACCTCAGGGAAGGGGCACCCCAAAGCAGCATCCCAGTCCCAGGGGCTACCTGGTAGTGTCACACACAGCAGCAGGAACGTCAGACTGTTCCCCTCCAGCAGCCGCTCGACGATCCAGGGCAGGCAGCTGGTGTCAGCCAGGGGGTGGCCGGTGCCCAGTGCCCTGCTTGTGGGGCGAGAGAAACCCCGGGAGAGGGGTGGGGCTGGGACCCACACGCCCGGGCAGGCTGAGCCCCGACCCACGAGAGCCCGAGGATGGGTTAGCCACGCTGGGAGCAAGCCCACATCCCTGAGGGGTTGGTAGCAACCCCTTGGCTCCCAGCCACGGGCTCCCATTGGGGTGTCTGGGTCTCTCCTGCTTCACCTCTGGGTACCGAATCCCTCCCGACCCCACAGCAGGCACCACGGGGGTGCTGGAGAGGGGACCCGGCTCAGCCCCAGCGCAGAGCTGCAGCTCTGGTACATACGGCTCGGGGCAGGGCCCGGTGGCCCCGGGGGATGCCAGGATCCTGACAGCTGAGCGCTGTCGCCTGCCGCCCTCCAGCTCCCGCTCCACAGTGAGAGTGAAGAGGCTGCTGGCGCTAGGGAGAGGCTGGCACATGAGCGGGACTGCAGCGGTGCCTGGAGCCAGCCCCGGCATCCCGTGAGCCAATCCTTCCCGACCCTGCGGGATATCGGCTGAATCTCTCACCCCCACATGGCGGAGCGCCCGTCTGCGGGGGGTTGCAGTGCCAGGACGGCACCCAGCCCCCAGGCATAGACACTGATGGCAGTTTGGGCATCGGGCACGGCAATTTCCACTGCCTCCTCCACCATCCTAGAAGCAGAGAGAGAAAAGAGTGAGCAAGGAGGGTCACATCCACCCACCGCCTGCATGCCTGGGCCCCCTGAGGGATATCCCTGGCTGTCCTCTGGCTGGGCACCATGCTCCCTGCCCAGCCCCATGCTCGATGTTGGGGTACCAGCCCCTCAGGAGTAGCTGCCCGACCACGGGGCACCAGGTACCTACAGGCCCAGGGGCATGACATTCATCACTTGCAGGGCTCGGCTGTCAGGACGGAGCAGGTCCCAGGCTTTGTCAGGGGCACAGACCTGGAATGGACTGCGTTAGGTGGGGGGACAGAAAGAGGGGGCTGCTGGCATCCTGCACTCACCAGGGCTACCAGGTTGCTTGTGGCCATGCACAGGTAAGGGCTGGGAAGGGAGTGATCTCAGGGTCACTTCCAGCTTTTCCAGCCCCAGGGCCAGGGAAAGGCAAAGCCCTGGGAAGGCCAGACCCCCATGCGGAGCTTGGCAGGTCCCTGGCAGCATCCCAGAGCCAAAGGGCAGTGCCCAGCCTGGTGGCAGGAGCTGGCATCGCTCCTGTGCCAACCAGGCACACACTGGAGGGACGTTCAGGCCACACGGAGCAGTGTCTGGCAGGAAAAATCCAGCCACGCAGTGGGCAGGAAGGTGTTAGAGGGCTCCCCCGCTCCCACCATGCTGCTGGAGCCTGGGAGATGCTCCATGGGCAGCCCAGGCTTCCCACACCTGGGAAGTCCTGTGAAGAGGTGAGAAAACCTGGGATCCAAAAGTCTCCAGTCCCTGGTCACCCTCCAGTATAGGGGACTGGGTGCCAGTACTGGGGCAATACATGCCCCTTGGCGCAGCAGGGTCCGGCCAGTGGCAGAGGGGGAACAGGACCCCCACCCCAGGGCATCCTGGCCAGCCCTGCTCCTGCCCTACCTGGACCAGGCTCACAGTTTGCAGGCTCTGTGCATCACCCCCCACAGCCTCCAGTTCTTGGAAGACAGTGTCGATCACCTGGGGACAAGCTGGTCAAGCTGGGAGCCATTGGTTCTTGGCACCCATGGCCGGGTCTCACACCCGTACCAGCAGGACTGGGGTCAGTTGGGTGACCCGGGAGCCCAGCACCATGCAGTTGCACTGTCACCTCTCCCCTGCCATGTCCTGTGCCCTCACCTGCCAGACAATGCTCTGGAACGGCAGCTGGGTCCCAGGGCCGTGGAGGTCCCACAGCAGCAAGGACACGCTGTAGCCCAGGGGAACCAGGGCCAGCTGGGGTCTTGCCAGCTCCAGGACCTTCTCCTGGTAGGAGAGACGTAGCCAGCAGAGCAGGGATGGCATGGCACAGCCAGCATGGCACAGCACGGACAGCGCAGTGCAGATGGCACAGCACGGAAGGCATTGGCATGGATCGGACAGCACAACACAGATGGCATGGCACGGGTAGCACAGCACAGGTAGCCCAGTATGGATGGCACAGTGTAGATGCACAGCGTGCATGGCATGGCATGGCATGGCATGGCATGGCATGGCATGGCATGGCATGGCATGGCATGGCATGGCATGGCATGGCATGGCATGGCATGGCATGGCATGGCATGGCATGGCATGGCATGGCATGGCATGGCATGGCATGGCATGGCATGGCATGGCATGGATGGTATGGCACACTGGTGCACAGCACACCAGAGAGAGCACGGCACGGGCAGTAAGGCACAGACAGCGTGGCACAGCACGGCAGCCACGGCACAGCACCCAAGAGGAAACAGGGAAGGGATGAGAAACACCAGCAGAGCCAGACGTAGGACCAAGCCCCGGGTCCCCAGCACTGCCTGCGACACCTGAGGAGCTGGCAGTGGTGCCCAGTGCCTCTGGGACCACAGCTGGGTGTCCCGGCCCACGGCTTGAGCCAGCGTGTCCCTGGCTCATCTGGCTGGGGACAGAAGGACTTGGGGCCCACAATACCTGTTCTGCATCCAAGTGGAAGACGCCATCGACAGTCAAGCAGCTGTCCTGGCAGGAGGGAGGGAGGGTGATAATGTTCGGCTTCCCCCCATCCCCGTATGACCAGTGCAGGCTAAAGGAGGGGCTGGGCACACTGGGATGGAGATGGCGGGGGTGGCATGGAGGCCTGGCACAGGCAGGGGTAGGGAGAAACCCCCTCCCTTCCCGCACTGTCTGGTAACCCCCAGGAGCCCCCCCACAAGAGGGGGGCCCGTAGGGGTGTAGGGCAGGATCAGCCCAAGACCTCAGCACGCATCTGGGTCCCAAGCGCGGCAGGGGGCTGGGACAGGGCCCCCTGCTCCTGTCTGGTTCCCTGGGGACCCTCGTTCCCTTGATGCCCACGTCCCTGCCACTCTCACCTGGACCTCCTTCCCAGGGAAGAGAAGCTGCAGGGGGTCTTCACTGCTGGCTGCCCAGCTTTCCCCTGGCCCTGAAAACACTGAGGGTGGGGTGGGGTGGGGGGATCATCCCCACCTGCCCCAGCTCTGCCCCCCCCCCTGCAGCCTGGGGCCAGGTCCCAGGGCTCCACATCATCCCTGAGCCCTCCCGCTATGATCACGGTGCTCAGAGCCACCAGGGTGGGGAGGACGCCCCCCTCCCCATCACCACCGCCCAGGCCAGCCCCATCAGCGTGGCCAGCGGTCCCAGTGCCACCACAGCCGTGGCTGCCGCCTCCGCCCTAGCCCAGTTCCCTGGCGTGGGGGTTCGGGCTGAAGGCAGGTGTCCCCAGCTCTACCTGCTGCCTGGTGGAGTCCCACGGCTGCTCGTACGCACACATCCTGCTCAGCCTGCCGGGACACAGGGCAGAGGGGGAATGAGCCGGGTCCTTGCCCCACGCACCCGGCACCTGCCAGGAGCTGGATGAGCCCCTGGGGAGCTGGGCAGCGCCTGGCCATGCCACACCGAAGGCAGGGGACAGATCCCTCCAAACCACCCTGTGATGTCCCCCACGACGGCACTCACCTGCCCAGCGTCCATGGCTAGCTCAGTACCTTGAGCTGCTGTTTCAGACAGGGCAGGGAATGGGGTTACACGGGGGGAGATCGTGTTCCCTTGCATTATTAATGGGTGTCGGGTACAGTTGTGTGGGCAGAGCCGGTCAGGGACCAAGTCCAGCCTGGAGGCACCATGTTCTGGAGGCTGAGCCTCGCTGGCCAAGGAGTCAGCGGGGCCATGGGAGGCAGGTGGGTGCTGGGACCCACTCACACCATTGGCGTGCTCCTGGCTCCAAGAGGGACATCTTCGCAGGCCAAGGACAGGAGATGAGGGACCTTGGACTATCATGAAGGTTTTTCTAGACACCAGAAGCAACAACAAACTACAGAATCACATTTACCGGAGATGAGTCATGCCAAGAAAGCACAAAAGGAAATGCTGAAGCTGAGGATCTATGTGGTCTGTGGAAATGCAGACTGTGGGAGACAGGAGAGAGGTCCCAGGACAGCCCCTGCCCCTTGCATTTGGACAGGACCAGGCACAATGAGGAGATGCACAAATGTCCCTCCATCTGCCACCATTCCCCCTGTAGAATGAGATTACAACGCTGCCGCTGCCTCCCTGAGCCCCTGCCTGCCCAAATGTCTTCAGGCGTGAGGGTGATGCCAGTCTGGACATGAGCCGTCATTGCCAATGGAGCAAGCAGCATCTGGGGCTCCATCAGGAGCAGAGCAAGGGGTGGGGTTGTGCCTCACGTGGGTGCTGCTAAAGGAAAGCGAATCCTAGGATTCTGGGACACAGGGATTTCTCCTTCCTCATCCATTAGACAGGAGCTGCTGCTCCCTATTCCCAGATGCAGCCAGTAGCAAGGCTGAGCACCAATCCCCAAGATGCAAATGCAGACACCTGGTGTACACAGGTCCACACGGGTCAACACAAGCAGAGCAGTGCCTTTGCTAGCACCTGTCTAACCACCAACAGTGCTCTCACGAACACAAGCACGCGGGCGGCACGGCCCCATCCCTCCCCTCCAGCTGCTCAGGGCTGACATGGGCTGGTGGCACAACCCCACACCCCCACCCCCGACCCCCAGGCAGGTGCACACCCGTGTTGCCCTCGAACACGCAGCAGACCCCAAGCCCATCCTGGATCCACGGCTGGACCCTGGGCCCCGTTTAGCCACTCTCCAGCTCCAGCCTTGGGTCTTTCCACGCTCTGGTTTCTCACCCACCGTCTAGTCCAGCCTGCGTTTGCTCACAGGTCACATGCGCACGTGCACAAACAGAATAGAGTGAGGTGGCACGGAAAATACGCAGGAATAGATTTTAATGAGAAGGAAGGACAGACCATGGGGACGAAGCGCAGGGCTTGGCCAGGCGAGCGCTGCCTACCTACGACTACGACCAGCCCCCTTCTTCCCCGTCCCCATTTTCCCATGCTCGTTCCTTCTCCACCCACCGTGATCCTCCCTTTGATCCCTCCCGTAAGCGTTCCCCAGCAAGGTTTGCACATTCCCCCACCTCCCTTAGCATCCCATAATCAATTTTCTCTTTCCTATGAGACGTTTTCTGAATAATCCAGAATAAAGCAGTTTTCTTCTTATCAGTTAAAAAGTTTTTGGTTGAACAGCTCTTCGGGGTCACACTTGAGGGTTTCGTCCACCAGTGCTTTGAGAGCTTGGGTCTTGGTTGCCGTCTCTGTTACCTCCCGCTCATTAGCGTTTGTGTATAGGGGTGTCTAATTTATTCATTTTCCTGTCTTTTGTGGTTTTTCTCTTATGCTGCATAGCAGTTAAGCAGACATCCTCACAAACCAGGCATCCTCACAGCCATGGCCCAGCTGTAGCCGCAGGTGAGGAGAGGTGGAGGATCAGCAGAGGGGGCCGCGGAGGCTGCAAGGACGGCTGGGCTGGGGGGCACAGGGCTACAAGGTGGGGGGGGGCCTGGGCA